GACACAGAGAGGTAAAGTCTTTAGCCCCCAGTCACACAGCTAAATAACAGCCGACGTGCTGGCATCTGAACCCGGGCAGATGGCCACAGAGCCCCCGGGCTCGACCACCTTTGAACAGCCATCCTGGAGCACTGATGCCAAGATGCCAGCCCCCTCGCTCTGGGCTCACCCTCGATCAACAACCACCTGTGCTCTCATCAGAATGATTATTCAGGTGACCATGGTTTTCCTGACCACAGACACGTCACCAGCTTACAGTTTGTAAAGACAAACTCAATACAGAAACGAATAAAGTAGAAAGTAATAATTTCCCATAGCAATCCCCTCTAGGGATACCTTTTTTTTTTTTTAAGCTTACTTATTTATTTTGAGAGAGAGAGACTGAGCAGAAGAGGGGGCGGGTTGGAGGGGACGGAGGATCCGAAGTGGGCTCTGAGCCAATAGCAGAGAGCCCAATGTGGGGCTCAGACTCACGAACCATGAGATAATGACCTGAGCTGAAGTCAGACGCTCAACCGACTGAGCCACCCGGGCATCCCGGGGTGCCATACTTTTTTTTTTTAATTTTTAATGTTTTATTTATTTCTGAGACAGAGAGAGACAGAGCATGAACGGGGGAGGGGCAGAGAGAGAGGGAGACACAGAATCGGAAGCAGGCACCAGGCTCTGAGCCATCAGCCCAGAGCCCAACGCAGGGCTCGAACTCACGGACCGCGAGATCGTGACCTGAGCCGAAGTCGGACGTCGGGGTGCCATTTTTAATTGGGTTCCTGTTGGCATCAGAATCTCTTCTTGGGGTACAGCCACCAGCACTTGTAGTTCTGATTCATGATATAGTGTGACGGATGGGTAGATAGAGAGATAAAGTCGAGATAGAGAAATAGACAAATGGATGCATAGACTGCTAAATTAGACATGAATCGATATAAACAAATAGATGATACACACACAGATCTGTCTTTGTCTTGCTTGTTTCCAGACTGATCTTGTAAAAACGCAGCTCAGGACCCATCCTCCAAACCTGTCACCTCCAGAGCAGGTCCACACTCCATGGCTCCAGGATCTTGTTCCGGTGTCCCCTTTACCCATGGCAGTCTGGTGCACACCTCCCTTCGCTGACCTGCTCTTGTCAGAAGGAATGCTAACACTGTGCCCCCATCCGCCCCCACCGAATGTCCCATGTCCCGTTGTCCATTCAGATCTGTTTTCATGGGAACGCCCAGTGGGGAGGCGGGGAGGGGTGGTTGGCAACAGTAGAGATCAGGGGAGTGGGTGATGGGGCTGCTAACCGAGCCAAGAGGTCAGGATAGTCTGAGGAGGTGGCATTTGAGCCAAGTGCTCAATAACAAGATGAGGGAGACTGGCCCGGTGGAGGGAAAGGCAAGTGCAAAGGCCCTGTGGTGAGAATTAGTTGTCCTTAGAGTGACTTGAGCACTGTGACCTAGACAGGAGCAGGACGCAGAATGTAATCGGGGGTCAATGAAATATCTCCAAGAGTTGTGTCCCGGGTGGATTATAAACAACAACAAGGTTAGACCTGAAGCCAGCTGTAAGAGATCTGGTGGAACCCACTGGAGAGATGAGGCCAGGAGAGCAGGGGGGGAGGCTGCGTGCAGACAGGAGGGAAGGGTGTGTCCGAAAAGGGCATTCCTTCATTCCACCATTCCCCAAATAATTCCCCGGAAACAGCCCTTGTGTGTTCCAGATTCTAGATGCCAGAGACGTAGCCGTGATCAAGACCAAGGAAGTTCTTGTCCCCAAAGAGCTCGTTCTGGGAGGGAGACAGACAGAAAACAAGATAAACAGGTGTGTGGTGTGTCAGGCAGGCAGAGTGATAAGGGCTAGGGAGGGTGAAAGGAGTCAGGTGGGGGCGGGGTGCGTTTTAGTGAAGTTACAGG